CCTCCTAATATGAAAACTTGTAATTTATTCCTCAAATGCAGAAATTTGTGACTTTGCTTGTGGGACGCTTTTTTGCATCGTGGGTGGAAAATTACATATGTCGGCGGCGCGTCACATGCGTGTTTGATGAGTGTCACAAGACGATCTATGTATGTGCATACATCGTTGCACCTGCGTCATGAAGGACTTGGTGAAGCTTTCAGAATTTAGCACATGCGATACGACAAAATTTCAGGATAGCTTTTCATTCATTCCAAAAATATCAGAATCAGCAAATTAATTTCATACATTAGAAGACTTCCACAATGTTCTCAGGCTACATAGTTGGTCGTATCTAAATTAATTCAAGGTTGGGCTGTTTATTTATTCCAAAGAATTCATTTTGCTCTCATTTTATGAATTACATTGGATATCAAGTGCTTTCTTGTCCGGTTGCCTTCGTCGAAATGAGCTTGTCAGCACATTTTTAATAGCGTGCCATGTGCATGGAAGACAATTAATTTTCGCGTGATGAGGATTACACGTACTTATTATTGGATAAAAACGCGTTTTTACAATAGACTTAAATTCCATGTTCCGTGATAAAAAAAATTGCAACTGGACTGATATCATTATGCACATCGAAGTGCGGTTCATGGTTTTATAATAACTTGCAGAGATCCCTCATTAAGATTATTCTGTTTTCAAGGGCTCGTTTTATTTGCAAAATTAAATTGTATAAAAGATACGTAATAGGGCGTTGAGTTTCGTGCAGACTTTTCGCATCGCATGCTTACCTCAAAATGGCAAAGCGAAAAACTGCGAAAGATATTGCGACTCACGGGTATGTACAAGCGTGCCATACTCCAATTTAATTATTTAAATGCACAAAGTCACCGTTTACATTTCACCTCACTTTTGTTTTCAAAACTATACGAAAGTCTTGTTGACTATGACCAACCCCGAAATTATGTTTGGTAGTCGAGTTTCCGATTCAATATTTAACTGAATGCATTTTTGAATCATTTCGTGATCTCGAGTGCATGAAAAAGGTTCAGAAAGGTTTGGTTCCTTAATTGCTTGGAAAATACGTATTGTCTCCCGCGCGTCATATTGTTTGCGTTGTTACTCATTACCATAAAACTGTATATGCACCTACCTATATGAACCCAACTGCAACCAAGTCACCGCCTCCACAAACGTTTTAAACAATGATAATTAACAAGGAGCTGTTTACCGAAAGTAAATATAAATTCTTAAAATTGACCAAATGCTCCAAAAGTTTGTTTGGACCAAATTATGATTATTCGGACTGATAAAAATATCTACATTTAAAAATCTATCAGGTTTTTTGTTGACATTTGCAGCGAGAAATGTCACTTTAACTAAAACCAATTTAATTAAACATGAAAATAAATTTAAAAAAACACAGAGCGTACATATTGTAATGTCCAATGCTGACTGACTATACGACTTGGCAAGCAACACTATTTGGTATCTGGCAAGTATAGTCCCTCCGTTAAGCGAGACAATTATTAGAATTGACAGCAGCGTTGTCTGGATGCATGGCAGTATTTGATTTGATTTTGAATTGGAGTCAAAGTCGTGTCATGCATTGAACTTTGGACGGGCAAACGGACTCGGATCTTGAGTTTTGAGATGAGAATGCAAAATAGATTTAATTTGAAATAAACTGAGGCAACAGATATAATGAGCTGGCGGTAGCAAGGTGGTGACAATTCTGCATTGAGTATGGTACAACATTCTTAATCGACATATATCGTTTGATATCAAGGCCAAAATTAGACGTTCATTGCGTTTATTCGTAGGTCAAAAATGATAGTACTTCCTGTAATCCTTGCCTTTTTAAAATTTTAACCTCGCCCAGGCCAGGTCATCCAAGGTTAAAATCATAAAAGCCCGTTAGACAGTCCTTGTATAATGCTATCAATCTGACTTCTCACATGATATTTGACATTCCAGCATTGTGATCTATGATCTGACGCTGTCGGATATCGGAAATTCAAAAAAGTTTGCTCCTTAGAGAGTCATCATGTCCACATATGCAGACAGACAAAATGTTCACATACACTAGCTTCCTTCCGCTATTTAATAGCCATGTAGCTCTATTGTCATTCTTGTTAACATCCCATCTTTTGCTTTTACTTTCAGTAATATGTATCTACTTGTCCTTCGCCATGCATTATTACAGTTCATGCTAAGAAGAAAGACGAATAAGAGCAGCCAGTTGATCCCTCGATAGTTGTATGTATGCACACATTAAATGCAAGAATTGTGTAATAATGTAAGAACTGCATGGGATAAGAAAAGCATTCCCAAGATTAAAAAAATAAAGTCAAGCAAGGATGCTCTCCGCTCCGACTGTCAATAATTGTGCGCTGAGAATTTCAAACTGATACTCACACGAGAGCAGTGTGTGTGGAGCAGCAGTGGTCTCTGAAACATAAAACAAATTCTTCACATCACAATCCGTGTAGGGTGCGGGTGGTTGGTTGACTTGAGTTGAGACCACCATGGTTGTCATCACGTATCAATTTAAGTAAAACATGAACTATGTACGACGACGAGATTCCCTCGTAGCCATGGGCATACTATGTTAATAACAAGTGGATTGGTCTGCATAATATACGCTTCAAAATCTACGTGAACGAGTAGGAGGTGACAATATAATGTGTAACACAATAGAATTATAACTTACAATGCCTCCGAGTACTAAAAGTTCTCAATTTTGATGCGGTTTGAGAGCCTTAGTTTTAATCTCATTCCAAAGTATCTAACATCTTATGTGATTTCTTACGTCTTATGGACATGTGCGTCTTAGATAATCGTAGTGAGACATTAGTGGGCAAGTATTTCTATCGCGATTTTCGTTGAGTATTAGACATTATTATTCATTGCTATTGTATTCCACTTATATGTGGGTAGTGAGTCACTAATGATTTGATTCAATAATGGCAACTATGAAATTTTTCAAGTCAAAGTGAAAATAAATAAATATGTGTACAAAATAAGTAAGTAAATACGAATACAGCTTCTTAAACAAGGTTTAATTTGTTACCTGAATCTGGCAATCTAGTACACTATGTAGATGCATAGGATTGTTTAGCACAATATTTGCGTTCAGATTTAAGTTTCTGTTAGTATTTCTTTGGACTTTCAGTTAGTATGAGATGCTTGTTGGAGTAAATAAATACTTATTTTATTAAAAATTGACTAGCAGAAAGTAATCTGACTGGCTGAGCACAATCACATTGCTCTCATTTGTGCATCAGCTTATCATTATGCACAATTAAGCAAATATGATACAGCAACTTTGTATTTTCAACCCCTCCATGTATATATTTATTTACGTTGCATTTTTTCTAATGGCTGAACTGAACAATCTGACAGCTTAAGCAACATAATACCAAAGTCAAACATTTTCATAATTCTGACCAAATATTTACAACTGTATGTTTGGAAGAACATTGTTATGCTGGGGTGAAAGATTAAAGTTTGAATGCACGAGCAGATGCATAGAGCTTCTTTGCAACAGGAGTAAATCAGTTGAGCTTTTGTTGAGTATTGCAGAAGAGCCCAGCCAAATCAACCGAATCGCAAATACGGTCTCATACATGCATAAGTAATGACGAGCACTATATTTTTAAACTTAAGTTCGCTTGTTTTTCTTTAATAAATAATCTTTTTGCAAGTTTTTGTCTGTAATGCATAGCAAACTTTGGTTTATGAACATTTTGTGCAAGCGTAAATTTTTATCACAGTATGGTTATTTTAGTGCTTATAATCTCTGTTGCCCACCGAAAGTATAATATATATACCGAAAGTATAATATAAATATATCACGGTTAATTGACACCGTGTGTATGCCCCATGTTATAAAGTGTCAAATAATAATATTCTAAATATATGTACGTCGGCACCATGAAGACATTTTCTCCACCTTAAACCTTAAAGAAACTGCTAGAGTCGGAATAATTTGAATGAAACACAAATATAAATTCACATTTGGAACCCTAGTAATATGAAGATTATTGTAATTTCCTCATTATACTAAAATTTGACCCACTGAAAAAACACGTTAAGTATTGCATAGTAGTTGCATACAAGTAGTTGGCATTTAGGCAGTATAAGTATGCAGTAGTTAATTACATGGTTTCTTTGAAACTGTTGAATCTCCCGCAAGTGTAATACATTTTATACATGTTTAACATCTCCATACCAAAAAAAGCCTTTAAATTTTATAATAAATATGTCATTGCAGCTGTGAGATGTTTCGTCGCGATATCTTCTTTCTGATTTTTGTACAAACTTCTGGTCCCACGCGGAGGGATCAGTTTCTAAAAGATTTCTCATGTTTCGCATGAAGGGTTGTTAAAAATCTGTTAACGTCGTGAAGGTCACTAATATATTTGAACAACTTTAACAGCTGTATGGATTTTACGTTTCATTTATTCTGTGTTTAAAGTTTGCAGATGTTTCTTCAAAAATGTCATCTTGAACCTACACGAATAAAAATATTGGCAATTACATTGTGCAAGTTTTGGTACGGATTTCTTGGTTTAAAATCAGCAACAAAATAATCATTGATACGCGAGTTGATTACTTGCCGCCAGACATTACAATTCGTCAAATATTGAACAATTGGGTGTTTAACTAACAGCTTCTTATAAATACATATAAAAATCAGACTCTAGACATGCTACTTCTGATATGCTAAATATCCAGGGTGCTCGAAATACATGCAACATCCATGTCTCATCACTATGATAAATAATCTAATTTGTTAAATGGGTACACAATATTTGATTTCATATCTTGCAATTCGCAATCTATTCGTATCGAGCAAAACCCAGCAAGTCAAGCCGTGTTTAAAATATAATATATTAAACAGAAGAAAGATATACCAATCCTTCAATCTCAATTTGAAGAGTTTGAAGTGCTAAGCGTATATCAACCTCATCTCTTCTTCTACAAGAGATGAAAGAGAGTTGCCAATTTGCTAAATTATACGTAGAGTGTAGATCCATCGCAAACTTTGGTACATTTATCCATTATGTGTATATCAGCCATGTAGCAAACATGTTAGTTCGTGTGGCCACATCGAATTGTAGGAGTGAGTGAGATATAAAAAAATATGCCCACTGTTGGCTCGGAGCTTGTCTCGATTGTGCTTTATTCACCACAATAAATATACAGTGAAAATTTTAAAGTCTTATATTACTAAAAGGAATTGAGCATTTTCTTGCATGATGGAAATCAGGCTCAACTTATCAAGACATCCAACGTCACGTTTAGGAATTTCTATCTCCATCCATCACTTCTTAATCCATACCAGTTTACTGACTCCCGTTCATAATAATACCTCTCGTACTTACTCACCATTAGATATGCGTTGCAGACTCAGAATGTGTGGTTTGGTTTCAACAATCACTTGAAACTTACTCTGGTAGACGCTACATTTTATTACTGTTTTTTTCCCTCGTCTTCCACCACGTTTCTCAGTTTATTTTCAATCAAGGCTTGCACAGGATCATGTCCCCTGTTAATTCCCTCACTTATATATTTAAAAACCATACACTTTGTGAGTATAAGTACTTACCGTTGTAGTGCATTGAGATAAGTGTGACGTTCGACTTGTTCTTTCCAGCAAGGAAAATTCCGTAAGATTATAAATGTCCGAATGATTAATTCATTACTCAATTACTCAGTAACTGATACGAGTAGTTAGCACCCCTTGAGTCGTTTGTCTGTAAAAGATGACGACAGTACTTATCGTAAATTATTCATTCGAGTGACATACTTTGTGAATACTTTACATTGTAAATAACCTGCTCTACTCTCCCCGTGCATATACCGTCTCTGAATACTGATGGACATATGTATGTATGTACTTGTTCATGAATTCCGATTTCCAGTGTTGCGTTGGGTGGAAGGAAAAATATCTTTCAAAGTACAACAAACATGTCAAGATGATGATTCTAAACTTGATGCTTGTTTGCCTCGGTTTAATGATTTGTACGAGAACATACAAAGTATTGGAGATAAAGCAGGGATGAAATTTCATCTTTGAGCGTACCTTAGTTTACTTACTTTAGGATACATTTCGTTGTTGTTGCTGTCGGAGAAAATATAATTCAATCACAGAATGATTTCAATCTTCGTTTCGAATAGAGTTTGTAAGTATTGGAGTTTGTTGTGCAAACACACAAAGTACACAAATTCCTGCGAAATAAAGGACACAAGTTAGAGATTGAGATGAGTATATGTGTGTGAAGCTGGGATGAAATGCAATTCATCATACATTTTGGTGGAAGTAAGCCCGTTATCTACATATTTCAAATCTCGCATGATTACTCAGAACTCAAACAAACCTTCACTTACCCTGAGCTTTCAACATGTTTTTCCTTTTTCTCCGTAGGCATATTTACCTTTGAGGATTGAAAGAATAAGCAAGCTAAATTCAGAATATGCGAGGACGGAAGAAAGTCTTCAATCTCAAGTGTACGTATCATATCGAATAATATCGCGAGCATGAATGCAAAGAAAAGTTATTCTCCCTCCTCCTGCGAAATACCCAACCGGTGGAAAGATCAGGGGGATTCGAGTGGCATCGATAAGATGGATAGTTGCATGTCCCTTCAATCACTCACTTCCACGCATCCAATGCTTAGACTTTTTTTAGTTATAGGTCTGGTCTACGTGCATACATAGGTCTGTACACATATTGGTCTTACACATATCCGACGATTCGATAAACATATTTTGATTTAGCAGGAAAACTGTTTACAATATTTTTGTGCTGATATCGGATTCTGCCAAGTCTGATTTTTGTTTTATCATGTATCAAATGAAAATGAAGTGAATGGCCTTTCCATGTTACTCCGGGGTCTGCCATACCATTGACAAAACATATATGAACATATGCATAATATGTGCAAGTATAATAAATATGCATATATGTACACATATATTTCTGCATGGAGGTTGTATGTATGGCGTTATGAATTTCTCTTGTCTGAGGCCGCCGTACAAATCGACTGGGTTGAAAGGCAATCAACAATAAAAATTCGAATCTTGAGAGCCAAGACATATCGCAGCTCAGATGCGGAGTAAAGTGATGTTCAGCCGGCCGGCAAGTGCGATAAGGGGAAAGTGGCAGAAGTACAGCTCCAACAATAAGAAGCAGGATCGATATCGAAGGTTCTAAAGATCACAACATTAATTCCCTTCAATTCCAGAAACGTTGAATGTGAAACTTTGCACTTTCTCTTTCCAACGCTAGATTGTATTGCATTTATGGATACATAGAACTCAGCGTGTTGCCATCAACTGTATGTACATGGAGGAAAATCGAAAACCGAAAGAGAGGGATTGCAACAAAAAATGCTGCTCTTATAAACTCTGGCCATTATTGCACCACTTTCGCTGCTGCTTCGTACCAAGGAAAATATTTCTTTTCGCCATGACTCGCACAGCAGCAGTAATTCGTTATTTGCTTCTCACTACTAGGCCCACACACAAACTTATCGATTTGGATGATATCCAGGCAACCTCAACCTTATTCCACGTTTACCTCGCTCGGCCTTCCGATATCTTGCTGGTGTTGATACATGGAAAAATCTTGTCAATTCCGATTATAATATGAGCGTCAACAAAAAAACTTTATGGACAGAGAGGGCATCGGAGAAGTTGAGTGGGTTTGACACTACTGGTCGACATGAAGGCACATACGTTGGAACAACTATTCTCTCACAACTCCAACTCTTGAAAAAAACGATTGCAATGCAGCTTCGTATAGATTGGTTTTGGTCAAGAGTTTGAATCTAGTTGCCCACTTCGTGACATAACCACGGACCTACAATATTGCCACGTTTGTTAGATGACGACACTGCAGCTTACCAATTCCTTATATGCATGTGCATAAATATGTAGTAGTACATTGGGACACATATATATGTAGATAGGTGCATATATTTAGTTCATTGGGTTTAGGCATAGTTTCTCAAAATGTCTATCTGTACATAAGATACGAAGCACAGTAAAAGTAAGAGTAGCCTTGGTTGAAATCTTATTTCTTGTGAATGTGAAAGAGGAGAAGGAAAGTGGAATTCGATTTTGAGTTTACACTGAATTCATCCGATAGGCAGACAACTACACTGCTCGCCCATTCGCTCCTAGTGTCAAAAAGGAATGGTGTACACAAAATGGGCTACTTTCCCTTCTCCTCTGTCACAATATTTGGGTGGGTCAGGCTCCTCTTCCAGTACAAAGTAGTTTAGTGTGAAGGAAAATAATTGGATGCGAAAAGAAATAGTATGCATAGCGCATGATTATGTATATTGTGTCGCCTGTGCAAACGTATGCACAGATGACGACTTGAATCTGTTGTACTGAATGGAAAATAGGAAATGATAAATAAATGTGCAAAGTCAAAAATGACCAACAAACAAATCCAATCTGATGCAAATGTCCATCGATTTATCTTCCGAGTTTTTATGACGAGCGGCAGATATAGGACAATGGAAAAGAACAATAATAGGACTGCCATTTCATCCAGTACGTCGGTGGAGGCATGGATATGTGTGTGCTGCTCTTCATTGTTGTAGTTTTTGCCAATGCCAACGAGTAGGAGGGAAATCCACCTCATAACACCTGAACTTTACCTCTCACATAGCTCTAGTCGTTGACACCACTGTCGTGTACGTAGAGAATGAGGGAGGAGAAGATGTCATGTCATAAAGGACAATAGGAAGAACGAAATGAGAAAAATGCATCATGCTTTATTATTACTTGAGCTTGAGCTCGCTCGTTGAATTATTATAGGAAGCCTTGTCCACGTACTTTTGCAGACACGCGACTTTACATTTCTGATCTTCTTCACGTCGTCCAACAACGTCGCAAACAGCATACGTGCATATTGCAGTCATCCAAAGTGAGTGAAATGCCAGCTAAAAGAACCAACTTTGTCCATCATCGCCCACCGCTATACATACGCCTTGGTCCTATCTCCCTCACTTCGTGTCGTGTCAGAGAGCAGTACTATTTTATTTTATATCACATCGCCTGCACGACATCAAGGATGTCATTGCATTGTACGAGTTTCTGGAATCTGGTGCTGTGTTTTCCATCCATCCACATGAAATGTAAAGCACGGTTCAAGTTAAAGCACAAGAATTGCCATTCGCAAACTTCTACCTATCGGCTCCAGGTTTGCCTCTGCACTAAAATAACAACTGCAGCTCAAGTTTGGATGGACTTATAGTTTTTTACAACGCCATAGAGACAGGGGGAATCACGGTCGATTCAATCTCGAATCTGTTTATTTTGTTGCTTATTCCGCCATGAACACTACGACTTGATTTCATGCACCATACATAGTGACGACTAGTGCGATACACATATCTACGCATATGTATGTATGACATCCAGCGCTACGCGCTACGTTGCGCCAAATCTTGTATAAAAAACATGTTTTCTACCAAGGTACTTGTATGGTCCTGGTTTGATGAAATATTTTGTAATGTAAATTATGATAGCATTGTATTGCTTATTTTTTCTTGGTTTTCAAAATTAAGTAATATTAAGTCCTCACACCGTAAATAGCAATACAATATACGAGACACCTAGTTAGTTGTTGGCTTGAAAACACGATGTTGGTGAGTAGAGAAATATTTTGTCCTAATAGAATTATCACGGCCAGAGCCATTATTAAGATGAGGGAAATCGATCTCATCCACCGTAAAATTAAATGTCAGTGAGCGCATAGAATGCGATGGGTCCATTACATTATGCTCTAGACAATATCTGCTGTTAATCGTAGTTTCTCTCTCCCAATTGCACAAACTACTATCACTGCAAGCTCGAAAGTACTCGCCAGCGTTGTTGGCATGCATATTATGCTCGTCTAGCAAATGGAAGGAAAAGAAGGTAGAATTGTCAATTGTTGTGGGATGATTGCATTATACAATTTCCTTACAATGGAAATAATGTGGACCGACAGCGTCACTCCTCTCCTACCACTGCGCTTGAGACTGGAATGGGAATTCAGAGGAAGCATTTTATTATTACATGGTACATTGTTGAGATTTGAGATTTGTGACTCAGCGTAATGGTGCGATGGAGCTTCAATCCACCATGCACATTCTGTTCCACGTTCATTCGTTCAAAAAAACTAGAGTAGTAAAGTGGAAGCAAATCATTATTATTCTCAATCTCCATTCCTTCAAATCTCCTCTCAGGTTGGTTCACTTGAATAGCAACTCCTCCTGGAAGAGTGTATGTACGTAAGTAGTAAATAGTGCATAGTTTGGTGATCCAACTTCTCCAGGGGCCTGGTTGGACAACTGAAACAAACACAGGACTCACTGAACAAAGTTACTATTGCTTGCTGCCATACAAACCATGCAACAACCAAGGCCACATGACAATGGATGGGCATAGTTGAGTGGGTTTCGTGAGCTGGAATGTGCAAGCAAAGAAGAATAAGAGCCAGAAAGAAAGAGTTACCTACGAGTTTGAAAGTTTCTCTCTGCTCCATTTTTTCCCATATTATTTAAGTATCACCAGGCAGCCACACCTTCTTGTTGTCTGTTGGTTTTTATATTTTCACGAGTGCGACTACAATAATTTTTTTAATGCGGGTCTACATCCCTACGTTGTTGGGCACTGAATAAAAGTATAATACTTATTTTTGCCACTCTGATTTACTTATCCGGTTATTCATTATCCGGACTCATGGTGTTGGTACAGCATCAAAACCTTGTGATGGGTTCTAGGAAACTAACGTATTTCATTCGGAAATGAGTCGAAGCTGCTCTCTGCCCAAGAAACCACGAAGTTCAAACATTTCACCAAACTTTGAACATTAATAAAGGAACATGAGCTAGCCATGTAAATGCTGGGAGAGCAGTATCTACGTGATGCAGAACTTCGACCATAGTTTTACCAGCCTTAAAATATTTCACTTAGTTATACCAATGTTAATTCCCTATACTCTGCCCATCCAAATGTCACCTAGCTGAGGAAAGGAGGTTACTGTCCGTAATAAAGCATATAATTTGAAATACGAGGGTCGGATGGAATACGACCACTTAAGACAAAACAGGGCGTTAGTGCACCTCCAGACTTTCTCCTCTCACCCGAACTGCTTCCCTGGCTTCCATTACATCTTGAAATAAATATATTAGCCGGGCTTCTGCTGCGCTGTGAGAGCAAATTATGACTCTTCTGGTAGACGTTGTAGCTGAGAGCAAAATGAAAATCACATTATGGAAGCTGATCCAGTGCAGGAGTCTCGTCGTTCCTTGCACACAGCTACATACGAGTTCATGCATACACTCGAGAATGTACAGTCGACAGCAAAGTAATCTTTCACAGTTCAAGATTCACATGGAGCAAGTAAGTGGTCCATACTACGTCCATCCAGTCTTAAACGTATGTATGCACATGCAGTCGAGCATGTATGGCGATGATTTTAAAACCTTACTTTTTTGTCTTCCAGAGAATTCAGGTTTTCTACTTTCGCAATAAATGAGATAAATAGATGGACGGGTGGACGACATTTTGCTCAACTAAATTTTTTATATGCTCGGAATATCTAATATAAATTTCCCATGGGTTTGAAGAAAGAACCCGTCCAGGATTTTCATCATTTCTGCATTTTCCTCAAATATAAGTCACTGTGCAATTTGTAGAATGTGCAGCATGCAGACTAGTCTATTTATTTAATGGCCCTGTAATGCAAATTACGCGTTCTACTAGAATGGTGTGTGTGCCTGTTGAATTGCATAAGTTTTATTACGTTCGTACGCATTTGAACCAGGGATTTGCTTTATTAATCTTTGATTCAATTTATTACTGTCTGCAATGGCGCATCC